CACAAATGTCATGTTGATGGCAGCCTGGAGAGAGGATGATGCCACACAGTAGTCTCTTACATGGGATGGAACAGAGCACCGTCCTCCACATGCACACACCACACACTTACACATGTACACCGCCTTCTATGAGTAGAACTTGCTGTTGCTGACTCTCTTCTCTTGCAACCTGGAATGAAACTGATCTCAGCATCACCAGCAGGACAGATGATACAGGCTCTGTGCAGAACCCTGGAACACTTGGCATCATTTATGGCTGGATGGCTCGGGGATGGGAGTTGGAGAGAGCACTCTGAGCTCCCGGCAAGACCCTGCAACTCAGAGAACTTCAACCAACTCATTGCAAAAAAGAGGGAGCAGCTGCTCTTTAGGCTGACAATCAATGCTGCCCTTGTAGGCTACTGGTATGTGCACTCAGATAATGCTTGGTTGTTTGGCTGCTCCCTGTCACACTGAGAGACACAAGGTGTCCCTGCTGCCCTTCCTGTCCATCACATGCCTTGGCACAACCAGAAGCCTCCCCCGTGCAGAGGAATTGGGCCTGAACTCCAGTCTCCAGCAAGTGGTCTAGCCTATTCTTGGGAACTCAATTAGGACTTCTTAAAAATCAGTGTTCATTGGAGCCGTGGTATAGCCTAGCATGCACGAGGACCTGAGTTCCATCTTCAGCACAAGAACAGCAAAATGGCCATCTATTTTCACTATTACAGTGAAATGTCCTTCTAAGATAAAAGATGGTTCTCCTTAGGGAGTAGGAGGTGCTTAAGGTGTCACTTTAAGTTCCTGTATAGAGCAAAGAGAAGCAGAATCAAAGGTACCAAAGAAAGCAAGGGTGGGTAGAGGACTTTCCTGAAGTTTTGCCCCATGAGCAGCAGCAGGTGAGGGAGGCCAACCTACCATCGATTGCACTTCTCCTGGAAGTACAGCTGGAGCTGGTTCTCATTGACATTGAACTCTTTGACAAGGGCATCCTGGTTGGCATTGCACAAGTTCTGCTGTGTGTCACAGAGAAATAACTGGTTGTTCAGCTCTTCTTGCCACCCTCGCAGCTGCCCACAGGAGGAGTAGAGTTCCTCCTCCCTTTCCTGGAGAGTAGGGGAGAGAACCACCTTGTGGGTTACCCATAGGATGTGGTATCCCACAAGTGTATCCAAAGGGAGCAGAGGGCAGAGGTTTAACAATTGCAGTTATTCTAGAAAATCCAAGCCCTATTTTAACTCAATATAGAACTCCAATATTATATTCGAGGCTGGCCATTGATAAAGTCGTTGGTCTTCACTGTGTTATTTTATCATGAAACATGGAATAACAAATATAATGCATGTTTTGCAATCCAGCCTAGTTTTTCCTTCTCACTTTTATCTGACTGCAAAGGTGGCCAAGAATCTCTATGCTTAAAGGGTGGTGCAGGACAATCTGAGGACAGGCAGGAAGCAGGTAATTTAAGACCTTGTGAGGGCCTTAAAAAGCAAAGTCACAGCTGCGACATGGACAAACCTGGAAAACACTGTGCTAAGTGAAAGAATTGTTTTTAAAGATCACAAACTACGCAATGCCATTAATATGAAATGCCCAAAACAGGGAGATTCATAGAGACAGAAAGATTAACAGTTGACAGGGGACAGGCAGAGAATGACAATGAGTAAGCACAAGGTTTCTTTCCAAGGTGATGAAAATGCTTAAAATTGAGTGTGGCGATGCTGTACAAGTCTGTCTGGGTAAGCTAAGCCCTGTTGGGGCACTTTAGTGGGGTGATTGTGTGGAATATGAATTGTATCTCGGTGTTTGTCCCCTACCCCAAAATAAGGCATGTATCACAGATTACACCCACAAGGATGGCCATGTGACATTTAGCCCTTAATGATGCCTTTTCCCCACCGTTACCACCTCCAGACATGTCCCCAGCCAGTCTGGTACGAAGCATCCACAGGACTTTGATTGGCGCTCTTGGTATAAATTGCCTTGGGATGAGCTAGAGGAGTGGCTGGACGCATCCAGTTCCTAGTGATCCTATTATGGCCCTTCTCTGTAATGTAGAGAGAGTTGGAAATGAGGCCGGAAGAGAGGCACACTGAACCATTGAGCGGGAGCACCAAAGTGCAGCCATGACTGACACAAAATTTACCCTCTAGTGTGCTTGGAGTAGGGTGGAGCTCTACGAGGACAAGGAGTTTGGGTTTCACTGTGGAGGGAGGATGAGGATACCTTCCATGGTATGGTTTCAAAAGACAGCTGACCGCTGTGTAAAGGGAGCTGCGTGGGAAGTCAGTCTGTCCTCCACACCTGCCCTGTCGATGGACTAAGTCAAGCAAGGGAATCCAGGGCTTCAGAACTCGTCCCGATGCACACAGATGGACTGGTCTTGTCACTTCTTTTTACAAAAACAGGAACTTCATGCATAACCTTGCTTGGCAACCGTGCTTTGTTTTTCTACCTTAACAACCTGACAACCTCATGGCCCATGGATGCCCTCCTCAAGGTCACAGCTAGAACTGAGACTTGAGCTAGAGGTGATGGTCATTCCCAATTCGAAGTAAACAGCTGTGGAAGTACCACCCAGCTCAAGAAAAAGAGCACTGCCAACTCTACACATGCTCCAATTGCCTCCCTTCCCTCTTCACCCCTTAGAATTTTGTGGTTACCATTTCCTGGCATCCTTTTGTGTCTCAGCTTTCACACACCCCCAAAAAAGGTTTTTTCTTTTCCAAGTGTCTGATTAGAAAATATAGAAAACCTTTGGCAGTAAGTTTTATCCAGGCTGGCTGTGCTGGTGCATGTCTGTAATTCTAGCCATCTGAGAGAACTGCAAGTTTGAGGCCAATCTGGGCAATAAGGTGAGACCCACCTCAAAAAATAAAAGAATTTTATTTGGCCTTTGATGTGATCTTTGTAGCATTCTCTACCTTTAGTTATTTTTTCCTGTTTCATGGGAGAAGAATAAAATGATGCTACTTTCTCTTGTTTCATGTTGAAATCTTAAATTTATCAAAAAAAATTGCAACAGAGTTAGATGTCTCACATCACTGGATTTCCATGTAAACATCTTGCACAACCATAGAACAGTGATCACAATTAGGAAATTAACAATGGTGCATCATTGAGCTACAGGTTTTATTGATGTTTCATCATTTTTTCTCATCAGTGTCTTTGTCCCGTTCCAACATCCAATTCGGGCTCCCATGTGCCATTTCGCCCCTGCACCTCCTTGATCTCCTCCAGTCTGAGTTTTCCTCAGTGTCTCCCATCTTTTATGACCTTGGCAATTTGAAAGACTAGCATTTGGTTATTTTTTATTCTATTAAGCTTATTGGTACAATTTAGATATACATAATCATTATATCATATACAGTTAAAAATTCCCTATGATGAATACAAGTGTTCAATTATTTTGTATAATGTCCTGTCATTCAGGTTTCTCTGGTGTTTCCTCATGGTTCATCTAAGGTTATTCAGTCTTGGCAAGAAAGGCAGGGAAAGGATGGGCCCTTCTCACTGTGTCACACCAGAAGGCACACAATAGGAATGTGTCTTACCACTTGGAAAGTTGACACTGATCATTTGGTTAAGATGATGTCTGCTCGGTTTATCCACTATAAAGCTGCTGTTTTTCTCTTTTTGGTTAACACATTCCTTGGAGGAAGAAACCCCCATTACCTACTTTTGAGGTAATGCAGACATCCCATTCTTCTGGCTTTCCCTCACTAGTTTCAGCATCCATGTGTAGATCTGACATCCACCAAGTCATGCTGTGGTGTCCAGTGGGAATTTCCTAGCTCCCTCCTTCCTTCTACAGTAGTCAGAATTTGTAAGGAAGAGCTATCTGTTCTCTCTTGTTCATTCATGGACAGATGTATATTTTACCCCATGGGTGCAAATTCAATACGATCATTGTCTATTTTGTTGCTCAGATTGCCCAAGCTTTGGTCTAGAGGCTCTTCCCAGTTGGCTCCTTTATCTATCTGATGGGCACCATCCTTTCTTCAGCACTTATTTATTGATTGGAATTTTAAGATGTTCCACATTCATTTTATATTTTATCCATGCGGACTCTAGAATTAGCCACTTTAAGGAGACCTGATTTCTTTTTACTGGGCAATGACATTTAGAAAGCAGTATCTAGGTGCTTCTGTGTGCCCACTGATCCTGGGGATCACTGGATATAGATTCTGTCAGCACACAGTGCAAAGATATTTATCTACCTCTCACTTTCTCTCTGTGTGTACATCTCATTGCGAGTTTATACTGATACCTCTAATTCCAGTCAGACATCAATTTGGGAAGGCTAAGTATAAATTTTTACTGGTTTAGATGTTTCTTTGTCTTTCAGTAAGATTTTGTACTTCCCCTTGTACGAGTCCTGTACCTTTCCTATTTAAATTGCTCCTAAATGTGTTATAGTTTTTGTTAATGTCAAGAATGGAATTTCTCATCTGTCCCTGCTCCCACACCACATTCCCATGTGTCATTTCTGGAAGAAAGAATTGGCTAGATTTAATTAATTTAATAAAAGACTAACAAACATCAGTCTTCTTAAAATGAGAGTTTCTTTTTTAAAATACACAAACATAATTTGAGGGAAAAATTATTTGATCTTTCCACAATTGATGTTGAGTATTTGGCTGGTTATACTTGTGGTATGTAATGATTCATGCTTTTTCCTCACTTAATGTATTAACTTCTCCAGTGTTGAACTATCCTTGCATTCCTGGAATAACCTCTACTTAATTGTATTATATTATGCTTCTGTAAAGAGCTGGAAATGACTTGCTATTTTTCTTAAGCTTAAATCTGTGTCCATAGGTGACATTGAACTGTAGCTGTGTGGCATGGGGTGGAGGGCTAGGAGTTCTGTCTTTCTCTGGTTTTGATATGAAAATTACACAGCTTTAAAACATTGCAGAATCTCCATTTTCCTATTGATTTCAGTGAAGTAAAATCAGAATTACCGTGGTACCTTGGTTCACGAACAATTCTGTTTGCAAACAATTTTGTCTGTGTCTTGGTTACTTTTCTCTCATTGGTGAGACAAAATACCTGAGGCCCAAAATTAAGGAAGGAAAGATTTATTTAGCTCACAGTCTGTGGAGGTTTCAATCCATATTCAACTGGCTCCAAGGTAGAGTGGCACATGGCAGAGGGCAAGAGTCCATGGCAGCAGAAAATAGCAAAAGCAACAAGAACAAAAGGGAAGAGTGGCAAAGGAAAAAGCAAGCCTCTTTCCCTCCCTCACATGGTAAGCAAACTATCTGCCCCAGGGCAGGTGCAGCACTCAAATGCATAATTCCAAAACTGGGCTATGGATCAATCAAAAATCTAGAAGACTGCCCAATGACTGCATGAGGATCTGGGGGGACATGCAGGCACAAACCATAGCAGTCTGCAAACAGAAGCATTTGGGGAAATTTTGTTTTTGTTTGTGAACCCTGTATCATGTAATCAACACAGCTGTGGCCATCTTTGTTGCCTGAACACAAATGTAGCCATTTTCCCCAGATTCATGGAACAAATTAAGTT